AAGTAACTTTTACATAAATGATATTGGCGGCAAATCTCCAGCTAGGGCTCCTCTCACATCCTCCGTAACCCACTCCTCCTTTTGCCCCCTTTTCTCTCAGTTCCCTCACTCTCTCTCTCCTGGGGGCAGCAGGGGCCAAGCAACAGCCCTGCCGCTCCTGGTCTTGTCTCTGCAGCTATTTCCTCTTTTTTCAATATAAAGAGATATTTATTCATGTTAGAATTAAAGATTTGAGCAGTCCAGTCCTTAGTTATAAATGGAAAGTTACAGGAGGTATACACTCAGCAAGGAACTTCTCTAGATACTCAGCCGGACCTAATTGTCATTTAGATAGGACTTTATCCAACAAGCCCCAAACATACATTTTCCTGAAGTTTATAGGAAACATTCACAGGGATAGCCCAGTCTTTATTTTTTATTTTTTATTTTTTACTCCTTGCATATAATTTAATAGAAAACAGATGTTAAGGAGGTAGGCTTAACTTAAAAAATACATCTTATTGGCATTGAATGATTCTTGCAGGTTATAATGCTTTCCTTTTTTCTGCTATAATACTGTATATGATTAGATTTCTAAATTTCTGTGTAAAAATATGCAATTGTTTATTCCTATTTTAAAAATATTTTTTCTTCATATTCTGTAGGGATTTAAAGTTTAGTGTATCAATACTTGATGGAAAATACCTGTTCCATGTTATGTCTAAGATGTTTGATATTCAGACAGATAGTGAGTTCAGCTCAACTGCCTATGTTGTCGGGTAAGAATGTCTGCAGCCATTCCCAACCCTGCAAACAAGGTCTGCGCTCTCCTCACCAGCTGAGTACAGCACTTCTCACCTTGCTTAGTGCCATTGGCCTACAAATCCTTTAAAAGTGCTTTTGCAGCTTTGCTACCTTTTCCCCCTTATAAATAATATTAATATTTTTTAAGGCATTGGTGGGTAGTGCAATTTCTGTTTAATGAACACTCCTTCTTCCTGTAGCCTTTTTTTTTTTTTTTTTTTTTTGGTAGCTTCAGGGATTGAACTCAGGACCTTGTGCTTGCCAGGCAAGCCCTTACTCCACTATGCTATCCCCCTGGCCCTTCCTACATATTAAGCTTGGCAGTGTGGCTTGTGTTGGCCAATTGGATGCGAGTGAATTTCACATGAGCAGAGGCTTCAGCTGCGTGCGCTGTTGTGGCTTGGAGCACTTATGCTTTGGCCTCGTGGCCCAGAAGCCCCCAACATGGCTTCTGTTCTGCCCAACAGTGCCTAGCATGAAGCACGAAGCACAGATGCCTCGCACAACCTGACACTTCACAGCCTGAAGCATTTGGCCAGGTCAGCCGGCAAACACGCAGGAGAAATCGATGCCTCTTGTCATGCACCACTGGCTCTGCGGCTGATTGCTGCACGCCCCAAGTGGACTGCAGGAGAGCAGTAAATTGTTGGCCGAAGCTTCCTTTCACTAGCTGAGTGATAATAACTCTACGAAGTGAAAGATTTGCATTCATGAGGCCCCCAAGATAGCAATATTTAAAATGTGTGACTTTCATGTGTACTATTCCTTATAATGTTTTTCCAGTAAGTTGCAAAACTATGACACAAATACCCGATGAGGCCGGACGGATAAAAAGAAAAGCGTTCTAGGGTCTTTCTGGTTAGTTCTGCTTTTAGAAAGCAAGAGAATAGGGATTGCTTTGATAGAGTTCAGGAGAACTCTGACATGCCCACTGAGGGGAAGAACTATACCTGTTGGCCACAGACTCTCAGGCGGGTAACACGCTGCTATTTAAATTAGCCTTTAGGGAGCTACTCTAGGCTGCAAGCAGGCCCTGCTCAATTTGATCTCTCCCTCTCCCTCTCTCTCTCTCTCTCTCTCTCTCTTTCTCTTTCTCTCTCTCTTTCCCTCTCCCTCTCCCTCTCCGTAACCCTCTCCCTCTCTCCCTCCCTCAGGTAAGACTTATGTTTTTGCATAATTGGTAGGACTGTACCACACGCAAGGTCCTACCCAAATCTAAAACGCAGCATTAGGTAAGCCTGCATTTATCTCAGGCATTCATATACAACCTTGTCAAAACTTCAGTGAAAGCAGGGCTCTAATGTCCCTTAACTTACTTTACGTAAAAAAAAATAGCAAAAATCCCTTTTGTGGGATTTTTATCTTTTGTATGCTTATTATACATTTACATAAAAATCCCCTTGGCCCTGGAAATTTCCCTCGTTCTTTGGTGGCTCTTGGCTGGTGTGCCAAGGAACTGGTGCCATAAGAAGCGTTTATTCTAAAATAAAGTTTGCTAATCAGCAAAATTAGTATGCTTCCTTGTAATGACATTATATTTGAGAAGAACTTTCCTATATAAATTACAGTCTGTCACTCAGGTAATATTTTGGGGGAAGGAAATGTTCTTATACGGCATGATTAAAATGCCCCAGGGAACTCTGAAATCATTTTTTTCATTAAATAGAGCTGGAATTATGTGAACAAGTAGAACATGAGAAAGAAAGAGGAAAACAAAGTATAGAGCACTGGGGAATGAGAAAATAGAAAATAGACTGTGAAAGGAACAGTCATTCGCTCAAGGTCACCCAGTGAGTCAGGAAAAAACGGGGAAGCTGGCCTGATGACTGGGACTGAAGCCTGTTTACATTAAGACCCTACGCTGGGCCTGCTGATCCCAAAGGCCAATGTCACTCTATGTTTTCTGTATGAGAGAGGGCATGTATACAATACTCAGAGTTTAGCATGCATTTCTTCCTAAGTATTTATTTAAAAGATAAGTATAAAATCTGCTATCAACCAGAAGTGAAGCTGACTTCATATCCAAAATCACATTTGATTTTCATGACAATCTCTGAGACAGGTATCATGGTTTTTGTCTCATAGATAAATACAGGTGCAGAAAGATGACATGAATTGCAGCAGATCCTTCACAGCGCTTTGCAGTAATGTCGACATAGTACAGAGAAGTCACTGGCCTGCAAAACCAAGCGACAGTGGTCTACATCTACTTCTACAAAGCGCTGCTCACTTTGTCAGAAGTTACAAAGCAGAGATTGGCTCAGAACATAGGATTCCTCAATGTATTCTGTACCCAAGTCCCTATCCCAAGGGCACTGACACCTCTGTGACAAGCTGTCTCCCACTCAAATAAATTTACATGCAGTAGAAAAATAAGACAGTGAGTTTTGTTCTCTAGCTGAGAGGCAGAAAACAAGGCAGGCAGGAAAGAAACAAAAGCAGCAGTACCAAAGGAGTGAAACAAGTCCTTAACTCTGTAACCAAATCATCTGGATTCACTCCAGTCTTTGAGCAAGTTGTTTAACATTTTTAAGATTCACTTTTACCATTTGCAAAATAGATTAATAATACACACCTCATAGAATTGTCATGAGGATTATATGTGTTACCATACATGAAGTGCTCAAAGCAGTGGGTACCCAGCAATCCCAATGTAAATGTTTGAGAAGCAAAAGAATGCGGGAAGGGGGACAGACTAAGAGAACACTAGCTATATGCAAGACATTGTTTTGTTCTTTCTACATGGTCTTTAATTTTTTACAGGTGAGGCTGCTTGATTCCTACCAGTAAGCATAACCCCATTTCTTGTCTGGCCCCTAACCATCCCTGACCAGAGACAGAGGGAAGGTCTAGGTCAGTAGCGCAGGTGACTCAGCACTAAGTCGAGATTGCTATTACTCCTGTCCTGACCCCGTGTCCTAGTTCTAGTCACTTGTCCCTAAAAATCAAGTCCCAAGCTCATCCTCCAATTCTAGCACTCTGCTCCCCTGGGGCTGAGTCCTGGCTTGTATAGAAACTGCAAGGAATCTTCAGTCTCTTCAAAGAGGACATCTCCTGCAAGGCCGCCTGTGGACTAAAAGTATGCTCGGTGTGAACTTTCGAAAAGTATCTGCCTTCTTGAATAAAAATTAAAAGCACTTACATTAAAATTCAAAATTCCAACTGCTCTTTTATTTTTATGTTTAATTTTCTTCCCCAACTGCTCTTGCAAATGGGATGATTTGGCTGCACTGACCCCCAGGGGTCAGCTGCCAGCTCCAGAGGGCAGTGCTGCCTCTTCCCTCACCTCCACTCCTGGATCTATGTCTGTGATTCCACCAACGTTGGGATTTAAATCTGAAAACATATATCAAGCACTAATCTTGTGCCAGGGATGGTTTTAAGTAATTCACATGCTTTTCTCAATCAATGCACAGGACCCTGTGCTGGCTGGTTATCCCAGTAGCCCCCTTTCTGTCTGCGCCTGCCTGCGTGGCTCTGTGGCTAGCTCACCTGATCACTAACCTCCACCATTGGCCATGCCCTTTCACAACTCCAGGCTGAGCTGGAACTCATAACTTCAGCTGCTTCCCCCTGTTGGGGCCAATTGCCAGGCTCTAATCCTCCCGCCAAACTAGTCTCTGTCATCAAGAACTCTGGCCACCATAGTGGTTGCTGGGCTGACATCTAGGTGTTGTTGATCTGCCTGGCCCTGCAATTTCAGGCCCACACCATTGTGTAATCACATATTTCATTATATGTAGGTAAACTCCATCCTAGCAAAACTTCTCCCAAGTTTTGGTGCAAGCCCAACAAAACTCATCAAGTGTCTATTGATCTGTTCCTATTCTAGGCTCTGTCCCAGAAATTGATTTGAGTGCTCCTTCAGTTAGAAACCCAAAGAAGTTTGTCTCTGTCTGCTAGGAGCAATTCCATTTTCAGCAAACCACCTGGCAAACCAAGATTACTTGAACAGATTTGTCCCTGTGTTTTCTTACAGGGATCCTTGTGCACACAAAACACAAGTGAAAGGAGGAAGCATTAGGGACCACGAAGCCAGGGTTCAGGAAATCCGACAAGAAAAGTCACTAGAGTGATAGTACAGCCCATTTCATTCCCTAGGACTGTCTACCTTGGTTGGAAATGGGTGCATATCAGATTTTGATTATGCCTTGAAATGCAGCTAATTGGGTTCTACCTTAGTTTTAAAAGAAAGTTTTAATAAAAATGTTACTTACATAAGGAATCGTGTCCAAAGTATCTGTGTTGACAATTATAGGAGCAGGACTGGCCTAAAAGAGAGAATTAGGGAAAACGTTATAAATTATCTCCTCTTAGATAGATTCCGTTAACTTATTCAGCAAAGCATAAACAAGTGTTGCATTTCATGAATAGTTTCAGGAGCACTGTAGCTGCTGGGGGAGGGCCTAATGAAACGACTCAGGGTTCCCACACCTTCCCCCACTTCAAATATTTGTTACGTTGCCACATAATGAAATAAAGTAAGAATTTTTAGAGTTCACATTCATTTCCTCTTAAATTCCACGACAGTGTAGGAGGTGAGGATTTGTACTGTGAGTGAGATTTCAGGATTTCTAATAAACTGGATGAGAGTTAAATGTGTAACATTCCTTTACAAAATGAGATTGCTAAGGGAATTTTGACTTTGCTTCCAGGGAAACAAATTTAAACCCTGACCTTACTGCTGTTTTCTTTAAACTGCCTCTTGGAAGTTTGTTGTGTTCAGTTCAATAAGGGCTCACTTACTAACATATTACGTATGTGTTTACCCATCATGTATGCTTTACCTTTTCTTTTGTTTTTTCTTTTTTTGTGTGTGTCTATGATCATAGCCATAAAAATCCTTAGAAGGAAAATTAAAAATTAGTTCAGATATGGTAGAAAATAAATTGGATATGCTAAACTTTCCTTTAAAAAATCAATACAACTTGGAGCAATTGCCTTTAACATTCATTAGAAATCTGTGTGAAACTGATATCGGAATGCTACAAATAAGTCATTAGAAAATAAGAGATTGCAATCTCTGTTTGCCACACCAATCTGACTTCATGAATATTGAGTAGACCTATCTTTATTTTCTAGTTTCTAGAATTTTCACAGCACCTTTCCTTCATCCCCCAAAGGATCTTTAATCTCCATCCCACGTTACAGATTTCATTTAGATCGAGGAAATGCTCTCATCGTGATGAAGCGAGACCTGTCCTATGTCGTAGAGTTTGGCAAATGCTCAGCTTCTGGGACATTTCATTAGCTGTGCCCTCTAGAGTTAACGCTGTTTTAATGTCAAGCTGTGCCTATAGAATCCTAATCAAATTATTTCCACAAAGGAAATTCAGCAGGTCTTACAGCATCCTCCCTAAGCGAGTCTTACCACATAACATTGATAATGATGTGCATGCCTGGTCCATATATCTATATAGCAGGCTAACTAAGCATTCATGATATATTTATCATCCTCCCAAATAAGTATTTGGTGGGTAAACAGGGGCTTTGGATAAAGTTCACACACAAGTGTATACACACACGCGCGCGCGCGCACACACACACACACAGCAGTGCATGCACAGAGACACTTGTGGAGAGGAGAGGCATTTGGCGTAAGGATAAGGACATGAGATTTGGAGTCAGCAGACCTGGGCTTCATTAACTTCCTGACCGCCTGATTCAGGGTTAGCACCCTTCTGGCCAGCTGATTCTAGCAGGGCACGTCCTCTAAGCCTCTATGTCATGCTCCTTTCCACAGGATGGAAATAATAGTAGTCACTATTATGAAAAGGGTGAAGAGCAGTTAGGCTGATGTTCTGAATGTGCTTTATAAACTAAATTCCAGAATTAATGTTAAAAAACATTAACTTTAATGTTAATTAATGTTAAAAATTTTTTATTAATGTTAAAAAATTTAGTAGTAAATGTACCTACAGATAGACTACTATCAGGAAGATTGTTAAATTGTTTGTGACCTTTTGCACTTCAGAGATCTCAGTGCTATGCTAGTGGCTACAACTGCACTCAAAGGCATCTTTAGAATATGTGACATTTAATAATCACAATTGTTACTATTTACTAAATATGTATATGTTTAAATAGATTTCATGTTCATCACCAGAAAACCATATTGACAAGAGTAACATTATCTGACGTGGGCAGAACTCTCTTCTTTAAAAAACTCTTTTATTTACTTGGCACCAGGTCTTGCTGTGTACCTCAGACTCATAGTGATCCTCCTGTCTCAGCCTCTCCAGTGCTATGATTACAAGTCTCTGCCACCACACCCACTCTCTGGGGCGGGCATGGGGCATGGCATGTGATGCTGGGATCGAACTCAGGTCCTTGTGCTTGACAGGCAGGTGCTCAGACTGTTGAGCTAGTTCTCTAGCTCAGAGTGGAACTATCTTTATGTTACTAATAAGAAAACAAAAGCTCAGGGAAAAACAGAAGTGAAATTTAACAATAATTGACCTCTAGGACACTACAGCTCCTTTTTTCCCCACTGTGTTTTTCTACGGCCGCAGTATCTTGGTCCTATAAGATGTCTCTGTAGAGTACAACAGGAGATCTGAATGAAGCAAAGGCCACCTTGAAGGCTAAAGACCCCTCAAGACACGCAAATTAGATGTTCAAAAGGAACGTGCCAAAGCCTCCACAGGTTTTTCTTGTGTCTAATTCTATGATATCTCTCCTATGATTTACTTTTGATTGCTATTACTCATGAGAGTGACTGTCTTATCCTTGAGTAAACTGAAAACCCTAATTATTGTATTCCATACTTGTATTTCCCCTATTGTTTAATATGGCTTTGATCAATGAATACTGATGCAGGCTTTAATCCAATTTTTATTTTTCTTTATATAGATATATTATTGGAGCAACTATTATAAGCTTACTTCCGATGTAATGCCCTTTAAAGCTTCTGTGTTTATGCTGCTGTTTGCCATTTCTTCCGTATAAATTTGGTCTTTCCAAAAAGATTCTATATTTAAAAATTGACAGAAATCACAGGCTTATCTAGAATGGTCCACAGTACTTGCATATACACAAAGAACTCAATAAATACACAGAAATTATTGACCAAATATAACCCTAAGTAGAAATGAGGATCTAAGGGAAAGTAATAAATTTTTGCAAGCTTTATAGAACATTTTAAAGATAATCCAAAAATGTTTTATTTAATGCTATTTATTTGTTGTCTTTTATGCAACACGTTCTCACTATACAGTTCATGCTGGTCTTGAGCTCACTTTGTAGCCCAGACTGATCTTGACCTCGCAACGATCCTCCTGCCTCAGCCCCCCGAGTGCTGGGATTACAGGAGTACACCACCTCCCCAGAATGTACTATGCACAACAGTGTGGTAGGCTATTGTCTTAAGCATACTATATTTTCCCCCATAATCTTATTGAGAAACAAATAGCAATGAGACAATTTCAAACCAAACTGGTAGGACAGTTTCAATAATTAACACATTGCATACATTCTTCCTAAAGCATCCTATATTGACTTCATTGTCACTATGCTTCATTAAACTGAGCTTTTATAAAACAATAATTATAACTCTGAAATGAAAGGATTTGAAGTTTGTGACTCTGGAAGTACAGGCATAAGACCTGCCTTATGTGTGATCTAGGTTACTCTAGATAGAAGCCCACCACTCCTTTTCAATGTTATAATCATCCAAAGCCAAAGTTAATATTTACATTTCTAAACCTCAATAAAATGCCTGGACAAGCAGGATATGGGACTTGCACATGCGTGCAGCGCAGACGGATCTGACACTGGTAAACTCTGGCCCTCCCTGGCAGGAGACGCCAAGGCGAGCTCTTACGCAAAGCGTGCTACCTCCCGGTGCAGCTAGGCTAGATCCTTCCATGGCTCTGCCATGGGACCCTCAGAGCCCTCCACAGATGGTCTGCACAGAAGGTCCTTGGACTGTCTTAGGTGCTGCGTGGCACACATCTCAGCAGATGACAAAGCGCCAAAGAGACAGCAACTTAGCATGGTAGAAGTCTAAGTGCACTCTGCTCACCAGCTGGTAGCCCACATCCTCTCTTGTTTCAGCCTGGCTCCAGTTTCTTTTTTCAGTTTTTCCTCTATGAAAGACCAACTCTAGTTTGATACAGTTTGGTTTCTGAACTTCAAAAGCTAATCCCATGGTTGCTTTGATGGTTTCCTTCAAATTCGCTCCACACCCTACTGCCCTGGCTCTGCCTTCACAGCCTTTAACCAAATGCCCAAACAAACCGGTGACTCAGCAGATTCCTGGCTCCCTCTTCACTAAGCGTATTTCCATTCACTGGGAAGAAACTCATAACAAATTTGAAAAAGAAATCTCCTTTTAATCAGAAGCTTCAAGGCTGGTCTTTATGTCTGAGCAGATCTGAGCAGGCATTTTTGAAACTATACAGGATTTTAAAATGTAGTCTTTCTTGGGTGACGCAAACAATGTTAAGTGGTTTTCCTGGTCGATTATGTTCTCTTCCATGTTGAGAAAAATCAGTTTATATCAAAAAGGAAAAACAATACCAACCACAAAATCTCAAAAAATAAGCAGAGAGGATATTAATAAAATTTAAATTACCATATTAGGTAAAATTATTCATTAATTCCATCTGATTTTTTGATTTTGAGTTTCATGGGATAGCCATATATCCTTACACCAGCAACTTTGCTTTTGCCATAAAAGGTAAACTTCTGTTGCTTATCCCTAAGAGCTCTAAGAAAGATTTCAACATAATGAAGGTACATTTTCAAAAGAATTTTTTTGCTGCTCATTGATGCTGGCCATGTCTTGACTTTTTTTTTGCATTTAGTATAGGGGATACAGGGTCTACAGGGTCTACAGGTCTCACTACGTAGATCAGACTCACAGTGATCCTACTGTTTTCAACCTCCCAAGTGCTGGTGTACAGGTGCGCACCACCACACCCGGTCTCAATCCTTGTCTCAGTGCAGCCCAGGGGTGGACTGGCGTGGCGTGCCGGGATTGAATGTGGGTCACTGTGCTCTGCCTAAGCAGGCGCTTTAGTTCACTGAGCTATCGGGCCGGCCTCCTTCTTGATATTTTAAAGTACCTGATCTGGAAGATACCTCTGACATTAGAAAGTAGCTACTTAAAGACTAACTAGTGCATCCTGGACTCACTGACTTAATTCTTTTCCAAGGTGTGGCAGTAACTCAAGGTGTGGACTGAAAGCTCAGGCTCCTCCTCCAGGAGTCCTCAGGGTCTCTCTCCTGTGTCTACACAAGCGACGACATTCCATACACTGTGTCAACA